ATTGGAACCAGCTAACAACCCCATGTGCCCAAGTCTTAGCAGGCATAACTATAGCCATCAGCTACCCGAGCATATTGGCAGCCTCAGAATTGTTTGGAGTTATCATCACCCCCTTATTTTGGTTTGGTATTCTTCTAATTCTAATAACGCTATTTGTCTCCTTTTGTCTTCAGGCCATCAAGTTCCAGATGATGTCACTGAGGGATGCAGTCTTCTCAATATTCAAGAGCCATCCTTCTACAGAGAACCCCTAGACTGCTCATCAGTGGGACATGACAGAGGCAAAAACCTGGCTGGATACTGCTTTCACCAACCCATGGAGCCAACTGTGCCCTGACAGCTAGCAAGAGGCCAAGGCCTGCAGAACAACCACTAAAACGCCTTTCTGTCCGCAGGAATCAGTTACAGAAGATTGACCTTCATCCATTTTCCTCAAAGAATTAGGGTATTGGAGTCTTGAGGGGGGAAATGTTACAGTAGGTAGCTAGTCAGGCTTGAGCAGGGCAAGAGAGGGCCTAACCTCCAACCCTGCCACACACACACACCAAAAATTTTAGGCAACCATCAGGTGATGGTCAGGTGGTTGTTAACTGTCTCTCTAAAATAATAATTGGTCACAGCCAACACCAAGGAAAGTCAGTCTCCCAATAACTAGAAACACCTGAAACTGGTGACCAGCAGCATCCTAATAAGATCTCAGGAGTTGGGTGAATGGGCTCAAGCTTGCACATTAAGAGGGAACATTGTGGAGTTCAACTAGTCTATGACCTTCTAGGGACATTTGACTGGTAAGGGAAGAATGCCTCAAATGAGCATATATACAACTCCAGTAAACACACTGTGCATGCTCTCCTCTCAAGTGCTAGCAGGCCACTGCACGTGCAGACAGCCCCTCCCAAAGGAAGAAAAAGGGGAGAAGGGATGCAAGGCCTTGGAAGCATGCTAATGTATGAAACCCCAAGACAAAAGGTCAAACCGTGCACTTATCTCTCAAATCATCCACTTTACCGTCTTCCAAGGTGATCTCTCAAGTCACCTGCTTCACCCTCTTCCAAGTGTACATTACCTCCTCTCATTCCTGCTCTAAAGCTTTTTAATAAACTTTCACTCCTGATCTGAAACTTGCCTTAGCCTCTCCTTCTGCTTATGTCTGTCAGTCAAACTCTTTCTCCTCAGGAGGCAAGAATTGCGATTGCTGCAAACCTGTATGGATTTGCCACTAGTAACAAAACTTACAAAAATCAAAGACAGAGAATTTTGAAAGCAGCAAGAGAAAACATTTGTCCTAATTTCAAATTATATTAGAAAACTGTAGCAATAAAAAGAGCATGGCATTAGCATAAAAACTGATACATAGATCAATGAAAAAGAATAGGGAACCCAGAAATAAACCCATGCATATGCAGTTAGCTGATCTTCAACAAAAGCACCAAGATTACACAATAAGGAAAGAATAGTGAAGGAAATTAAAATACTTTATCCCAAAATACATTTCTTTGACATATTTTTAAATGGCTGCTTCTTGGCCAGCAGGCAAAAGTGGCCTTGTGAAGCTATTCTAATTGGGGAAAATTTGCATCTGTAGAGGATCTCCATTAGTGAAGCCATCTCTACATCCCTTCCTAAGCCTTCCCCCAGATCCAGGAGAGGTTGAGAGTCTGACACCTTGATTATTTATTTAAAACCTTTTCCTCCACCTCTGGCAGATGAACTGATACCTTTAAAGATCTGAAAAGAAACATTTACTATCTATCCTCTCTGAGGGAGGCTTCATCTACATAAAAAGGCCGCCTTTGCTAGTCAAGCCTCCTCATTTCTCTCTCTTTAAACCTGCCTTGCCGTTAAACCTGATTTGCCTGTTTCTAGACTTGCTCATAGTCTGCATTCTTTACTTCAGCCTCAGGATAATATACACATTTCTGTAACTCATTGGAAAGTTGGGCTTTTATTCTGAAGGCTCCTGTGGATGCATGTTAAATAAATTTTTATGCCTTTTCTCCTATAAATCAATCTGCCTAATGTCAGTGATTTTTAGCAAACCTTTAGGGGGCCAAGAGCCTATGGCTCTCACAGTAATTTTGTCAATAATGGGCTGAGAAAAATGAATATCGACATATAAAAGAAAGAAATTGTACACCTATCTTACAGTGTATGCAAAAATCAACTCAAAATAGATTAAAGAGTTAAAATAAAAAACTCCTAGAAAACGTAGGGAGAAAGCTTTCTGACATTAGTCTTGGCAGTGCATTTTGGATATAACATCAACAGCAAAGTCAACTAAAGCAAAAATAAACAAATGGAACTATATCAAACAAAAACTTTCTGCACAGGAACGGAAACAATCAACAAAATGAAAAGAAAACTGACAGAATAAGGGGAAATATTTGTAAACCATATCTCAGATAAGAAGTTAATATCCAAAATATGTAATGAACTTGTAAACCAAAAATAAAATTCTAAGCCCCACTACCTACCTGGTGGACCCTCCCCTCAGCCAAAGGCATTTCAAATTGTCCTAAAAAACTAGTTCAGGCCATGATGGGAAGTGGCTCAGACATATCTCACAAACATCAACATAGAGACCTTAAGACTGATAGAACAGGCTTTTAAAATCTGATAAGAAACACCATCTATTCTCTCTGAAGCCTACCTGTGGGCTTCGTTTACATGATAAAGTCTTGGGCTCCATTCCCTTCTATTTGATTCCCGGTCTTTAGATAAAAACTCTTTCAACCATTTGCTAATCAGAAAATCTTTAAATCTGCCTGTGACCTGGAAATCCCTGCTTTGAGTTGTCCCACCTTTCTGAATTGAGCCAATATACTTCTTACATGTATTGACCTATATCTTGTGTCTCCCTAACGTGTATAAAACCAAGCTGTACCCTAACCTTGGGCATATGTTGTCAGGATGTCCAGAGGCTGTTGTTCACAGAAGCATTCTTAACCTTGGCCAAAGAAACTTTCTAAACCGATTGAGACCTGTCTCAAATACTTTTGGTTTACAAACTCATATAAATAAATAGCAGGAAAAAAAAACTGATTTAAAAAGGGGAAAATAACTTGAGACATTTTTCCAAATAACACAAACAAATGGCCAAGTATATAAGACGTTTCTCAATTTCACTAATTTCAGGTAAATGCAAATCAAAACCACAGCCACATATCACTTATAGCTGTTAGAATGGCTATTATCAAAAAGTCAAAAAATAAGTGTTGGCAAAGACGTGTGAAAAGGAAGCCCTTAGGCACTGTTGATGGGAAGGTTAATTGGGAGGTTTCTCAAAAAAATTAAAAATAGAATTACTATATGATCCAACAATCTCACTGATACATATGCAAAGGAAATAAAATCATGATCTTGAAGAGATACCTGCATTCTCATGTTCATTGCAGCATTATTCACAAGAGTCAAGATATAGAAACAACTTATGTGAGCATCAATAATGAATGGATAAAGAAAATGTGGTATATACATACAATGGAAAATTATTCAGCCTTAAAGAGAAGGACAAATTGGTCTATGTGACAACATAGATGTACCTAGAGAACATTATGCTAAGTGAAATAACTCAGCCACAGAAAGACAAAAACTGCCTAATTTTACTCATATGTGTAATCTAAAAAGTTGAAGTTACAGAAGCATACAACAGTAGTTACCAGGAGGTGTGAGGTAAGATAAATGGGGATTTGTTGGTAAAAGAGTACAAGTTTTCAGTTATAAGATGAATAAATCTGCAGACCTTATGTACAGCATAGTGACTATGGTTAATTAAAATGTATACTTAAACTTTGCTTAGAAAGCCGGGTGCAGTGGCTCAAGCCTGAAATCTCAGCACTCTGGGAGCCAAGTTGGGCAGATCTTGAGGTCAGGAGTTCAAGACCAGCCTTGCCAACATGGTGAAGTCCCATCTTTACTAAAAATACAAAAATTAGCCAGGCATGGTGGCAGGTGCCTATAATCTCAGGAACTTGGGAGGGTAAAGGACAAGAATCACCAGAACCTGGGTGGCAGATGTTGCAGTGAGCTGAGATCATACCACTGCACTCCAGCCTGGGTGACAGAGTGAGACTGTCTCAAAAAAAAAAAGTTGCTAAGAGAGTAGATTTGTTTTTGTTTTTCTTTTATTTTTAGATGGAGTCTGCTCTGTCACCCAGTCTAGACTGCAGTGGCACGATCTTGGTTCACTGCAACCTCTGCCTCCTGGGTTCAAACAATTTTTCTGCCTCAGCCTCCTGAGTAGCTGGGATTACAGGCACCTGCCACCACACCTGACTAATTTTTGTATTGTTGGTAGAGATGGGGTTTCATCATGTTGTTCAGGCTGGTCTTGACCTCCTGACCTTAAGAGATCCACTCATCTCAGCCTCCCAAAGTGCTGGGATTACAGGCATGAACCACTGTGCCGGCCAAGAGAGTAGATCTTAATTGTTCTCAACACATGAAACACACACAGTAACTATGTGAGGTGATTGATATGCTAATTAGCTTGATTGTGATAATCATTTCCCAATGTATACATATAACAAAATATCATATTTTACACCTTAAATATATACAATTTTTTTTGTTTGTTGTTTTGGTTTTTTAGAGGCAGAGTCTCGCTCTGTCACCCAGGCTGGCGTGCAGTGGCACGATCTTGGCTCACTGCAACCTCCGCCTCCCAGGTTCAAGTGATTCTCATGCCTCAGCCTCCTGAATAGCTCAGATTACAGGCATGTGCCACCATGCCCAGCTAATTGTTGTGGGTTTTTTTGTATTTTTAGTAGAGACAAGGTTTCACCATGTTAGCCAGGCTAGTCTCGAACTCCTGACCTCAAGTGATCTGCCCACCTCAGCCTCCCAAAATGCTGGGATCATAGGCATGAGCCACAGCGCCTGGCCTACAATTTTTATTTGTCAATCATACCTCAGTAAAGCAAGAGAAAAAAAGAATCTCCAAGAAACACAGCAACTTTGACAAAAGGGTTGGGCCCAGAAATGGATCATATTGCACTTACTTTTGACATCTGTAATCTCTTGGGTACCAGCCCAGCGGGGAAGACTACATGCAGAACTATTTGGCAATGGCATCCTAAGGAGAGCAAATAGAAGAAACAAGTTACAAATTTATGGATTTATAAGTCACATGAAGCCTATGGATTACTGGGATTTCCATTCATCTTTTTTTTTTAACATTTATTTTAGGTTTGGGGGTACATGTGAAGGTTTGTTATATAGACAAAGCTTGTGTCATGGGGGTTTGTTGTACAGATTACTTCATCACCCAGGTATTAAGCCTAGTACCCAATAGCAATTTTTTCTGCTTCTCTTTCTCCTTCCACCCTCCACTGTCCAGTAGACCCCAGTGCCTGTTGTTCCCTTCTTTGTGTCCATGTGTTCTCATCATTTAGCTCTCATGTATAAATGAGAACATGCAGTATTTAGTTTTCTGTTCCTGCATTAGTTTGCTAAGGATAATGGCCTCCAACTCCATCCATGTTCCTGTAAAAGACATGATCTTGTTCTCTTTTAGTATTCCATGATGCAAATGTACCCCATTTTCTTTATTCAATCTGTCATTGACGGGCATTTAGGTTGATTCTGTGTCTTTGTTATTGTGAATAGTGCTACATTGAACATTTGCATATATGTGTCTTTAGAGCGGAATGATTTATATTCGACAAAGATTTCATGACAAAGACAACAAAAGCAATCACAACAAAAGTCAAAGTTGACAAAGGGGATCTAGTTAAACTTAAGAGCTTCTGCACACCAAAGAAAACTATCAACAGAGCAAACAGACAATCTACAGAATGGGATAAAGTATTTGCAGACTATGCATCTGAGAAAGGTCTAATATCCAGCATCTATAAGGAACTTAAAGAAATTTGCCAGAGAAAAACAAACAGTCCCATGAAAAAGCGGGCAAGGGACATGAACAGACATTTTTCAAAAGAAGACGTGGCCAAAAGGCATATCAAAAAAAACTCATTATCACTGATCATTAGAGAAATGCAAATTAAAACCACAATGAGATACTATCTTACACTAGGCAGAATGGCTATTATTGGAAAAGTCACAAATAACAGATACTGGCAAGGTTGCAGAGAAAAGAGCACATTTGTACGCTGTTGGCAGGAGGGTAAATTAGTTCAACCATAGTGGAAAGCAGTGTGACAATTTGTCAAAAAGCTAAAAACGGAACTACCATTCTACCCAGTGATCCCATTACTGGATATTTACTCAGAGAAATATGAATCATTCATGTTTTCATTTGGTTTCTTAAACATTTGTTTCTTCTCTTCCTCTCTCTCCATACTCCTAACGATAATCCCACAATCCCATTAAATAAACTAAAGTTGGACTCTATCATCTTTAGTGATTTGTTTGTTCTCTAATTTGTCATAAAAGGGTAATATTTTCAACTTCTGTGCATGAAAACTCAAACATTAAGTTCGTAATTATTTCAAAGGGATTTATGAGGGAGTTTCTCTAGGGAGTTGTTTTCAAAATAAGATAAGTGCTATGAATGAGATAAGAAAGATTACAGTAATTATGTTGGTGTCTGAAAAAAACTAAAAACTTAATATCAGTGGAGTAAATTGGGGACTCACAGATGCAGTGTGTATCTTTTGAAACACATCTGTATCCTAGTTTCCTTGAATCCAAATATGATACTCTAAGCAAGCAGAGACTGGGTGGCAAGAACAGATTATTTTGTACAGAATGAACAAAGTCATCAGTTTCTAGAGTGCACCACGTAGTAGTAATTATTTTCCTCTGATTGAAGGAGGAGGGACCTCAAGCTTCAGGAACCTGTGACTCTGTGAGGTAGGGGTAGAGTGGAATTGATGTCAGCCTAACTAGCCCTAAAATATTCCTACACATGTAATCAGCATACAAATCAGCCCTAATAATTCCTGAGACAGGGGTTGGTGGCCTACCCTGCATGTTCTTCTAACCTGGGGGTCTGAATTTAAAAGTGCAGATTTTTTAGCTCGACTCTCAGCAAGGATTCTTTAGTACATTTGGGGCAGATGGTTCTGATACAGGTGGCAAGTGGGCCAGTTTCTCGACTTCTACAGGAACCACTTCTTTGCTTGTTTTAATATATTTTGTCAGTAAACATGATGGTTTGAGATGTTCCTTTTTTTTTCTTTAATTTTATATAAATAGAATTATATAGCATGTCATCTAGCTCAAAATGTACATTATATTTGTGAGATTATTGAGTGGAACCATAGTTTGTTCTTATTTATTGCTATATAGTATTCCATTGATGCTAACACCCCTGTTGACTCTTCTGTCGATGAATAGTACTTATTCTACATTTTGCTTGTTTTCGTTTTTTTAGCTATTATGTAAAGTACTGCTAAGAACATTATCATATATGTCTTTCCACATACATGTGAAAGTGCATTTCAGTTGGAGTAGAATTGCTAGGTCTAAGATATCCATAGAATTAACTGTAGAAAGTAAAACCAAACTTTTTCTAAACAGTGACATCAATGTACATTCCCATCAGCTGTATATGAGAGGCCTTACTGTTAGACATCCTTACCAACACTTTTTTTTTTAATCATGCCACATGATTTTTAATTACGCATAAAGATCTAACATATCACCCAGGGACCATTTCACGCACTGCTCTGTTTGGCTGCCAGTCTTTTGTCTCTCTCTTCAGCAATGGTGAGGCGGATACCCTTTCCTCAGGGAAGAGAAATCCATGGTTTGTTGCCTTGCCAATAACAAAAATATTGGAAAGTCAAGTGGCAAAGCTGTTGCCATTGGCATCTTTCATGTGAACCACATCAAAAGATCCAGGGTGCCTCTCTCTGTTGGTAATCACACCAATTCTTCCCAGGTTAGCACCCCCAGTCACCATACACAGGTTACCAGTGTCAAACTTGATGAAATCAGCAATCTTGCCAGTCTCCAAATCAATCTGAATGGGATCATTCACCTTGATGAGGGGATCAGGGTAGCGGATGGTGTGAGCATCATGAGTCACAGATGAGGGATTCCTTTTGTGCCCACAAAGATTTTTCATACTTTGCACAATTTGTACTTGGCCTCCTCAGGTGTAATACAATGTACAGCAAAGCGACCCTTGGTGTCATAGATCAGACGGAAATTCTCTCCCGTCTTGTCAATGCTGATGACATCCATGAAACCAGCAGGGTAGGAACCTTGCCATCCACCTTAATGAACCGCTGCATGCAAATCTTCTTTACTTCATCTCCTGTCAGGGCATACTTAAGTCTGTTCCATAGGAAAATGATGAAGGGGAAACACTCTCTCAACTTGTGTGGACTGGTGGATGGACGAGGAGCAAACACACCGATCAATTTATCCAGCATCCAATGCTTTGGAGCTGCCACCCGCTTCAGATGCTTCTTGGGACCACGAGCCATGGCTATGTTAGGCAAGGAAAGAACCCTTACCAACACTTAGTAGGCTTTTTTTTTTTTTTTTAGACTCAAGGAGTACATGTGCAGGTTTGTTTCATGAATGTATTGTGTGATGCTGAAGTTTAGGCTTATACTGAACCTGTCACACAAATAGTGAACTTAGTACCCAAGAGGTAGTTTTCAACCTTTGCTCCCTTCCCTCTCTGACCTTTTGGATTCCTCAGTGTCTACTGTTCCATTTTTATGTCCATGTGTACCCACTGTTTAGCTCCCACTTATAAGTGAGAACATGCTATGTTTGATTTTCGATTTCTGCATTAATTCATTTACCAGCTGCATCCATGTTGCTGCAAAGGACATTATTTCATTCTTTTTCATGGCTATGTAGTATTCCATGGTGTATACACACCACATTTTCTTTATCCAATCCACCATTGATGAGCACCTAGGTTTATTCTATGTCTTTGCTATGGTGAATAGCGTTGCAATGAACATATGAGCACAGGTGTCTTTTTGGTGAAATGATTTACTTTCCTTTGGATATATATTCAGTAATGGGATTGCTGGGTCGATGGTAGTTCTATATTTAGTTCTTTGAGAAATCTCCAAACTACTTTCCACAGGAGCTGAACTAATTTACATTCCCACCAACAGTGTATAAATGTTCCCTTTTCTCTGTAACCTCATCAACATCTGTTATTTTTTTATTTTTTATTAATAGCCATTCTGATTGATGTGAGATGGTATCTCATTGTGGTTTTTCTTTGCATTTCTCTGATGATTAGTGATGCTGAGCATTTTTTCATATGTTTGTTGGCCACTTGTTGTGTCTTCTCTTGAGAAGTGTCTATTCATGTCCTTCTGCAATTGTTTTTTAAGACAAAGTCTCACTCTGTCGCCGAGACTGGAGTGCAGTGGAATGATCATAGTTTGCAGCAATCTTCCCATCTCAGCCTCTTGAGTAGCTGGGATCACAGACACATGCCACCACACCTGGCTAATTCTTTTTTTTTTTTTTTTTTTGGAGAGATGGGGTCTCCCTATGGTCCCAGGTTGGTCTCAAACTCAGGGGACAAGCAAACCTCTTCCTTCCTCGGCCTCTCAAAGTACTGGGGTTACAGATGTGAGCCACCACACCTGGCTCTTTGTGGACTTTTTGAAGGAGTTATTTAGTTTTTGTTTGTTGATTTAAATTCCTTATAGATTCTGGATAGTAGTCCTTTGTTGGATGCAAAATTTGAAAATATTTTCTCCCATTCTGTGGGTTATCTATTTACTCTATTGATAGTTTCTTTTGCTATGCAGAAGCTTTGGTTTAATTAGGTCCCAATTGTCAGGGTTTTTTTTGTTGTGTTTGCTTTTCAGAACTTAGTCATAAATTCTTTGCCTACGCCAATGTCCAGAAGTGTTACCTAGGTGTTTTCTTTTAGAATTTTTTTTTTTTTTTGAGATAGAGTTTCTCTCTTGTTGCCTAAGCTGAAGTGCAATGGTGCAATCTTGGCTCACTGCAAACTCCACCTCCCAGGTTCAAGTGATTCTCCTGCTTCAGCTTCCCATGTACCTGGGATTACAGGCGTGCACCACCATGCCTGGCTAATATTTTTTTATTTTTAGTAGAAATGGGGTTTCACCATGTTAGCCAGGTTGGTCTCAAACTCCTGAATTCTGGTAATTCACTCAC